ATTTGTCATTTTGGATCAGGTGGGAGATTAATTTCCTAGTTGGATACGCAGTTAAATATATCTTCATATACAAAAAATGGCAGAAAATTCGAAGCTGGTATGTAACCTTTTTTTATTTTTTTACATATTTTCTTGGCTGTATTTCTAACACGATAGTATGATTCACTGTTACATTCATATATTTCAAGCCTATGTATTATGAAATTCTTTTTATGGTTACTTATTTTCAGGGGCAATTGATCATGTATTCTGATGATCGGAGCTCGAATCTCAAAGACGGAAAAACGGGAGAAAAAATTGCTCGGAAATTATCATTTTCCGATCACTCGAGCTGCAGTAAGTCAGATAGATTTGTGGTGGACATGGCACATCTCATGGATAAAGACATCAACAATACAAATTCAAGAATTACAGTAAGTTTATATATTGTATGGTCTGTTTAGATTGGAAAAAACATATTATTATTTAGTGATAAAATAATGCAGTTTCCCTAATAAGCATGATTAATTATTCAAAAAGTTGCACTTTATTTATTTATTTATTTTCTTTCGAAATTCGCATAATTAATTTCTTTCAGCCACAGATAATGGCCTTTTCGTGTCGTTTTCTTTTTGATTCATGTACGTCTTTCTAAAATGTGAATTATCAACAAAAACAAAAAGAGGAAAAAGGAAAAGGGAATGATTTTTTTTGGGTGAATAAGTCTTTTTGGCGGATATGAAAAGTTGCAGAGGAATATTTCAAGAAAAGGATCAGTCAGAAATGGAGACCTGAAAATAAATGGTGACAATAGAGAGACTGTCACAACTTCACCAAAAGGTAACTGATTTTTTATTTATTTATATTTTTTAGAATCTCATATTTAAAATAAGTACATTTAGTACAAGAAATTTAACGAATATATTCATAACTTTAGATTAAATAAATTCAAAATATGTAATTCTATGAACTTTCGATCATTAAATTAATTAAATTGCACATAAAACTTACAAGCGTTGAGTTGTAGTAGTCCTTCAAATCCACAATCGTCTTACTTCAAGTAATGCTCGTCTTTGTCTACGAATTGCTCGTATTGAACTATAAAAAATAGTGAAATTCTAATAGAAATATATTTCAGTGCAATTCCAAAATCAAATCCTATGGATATTCTAATACTATTATTTTCATTTGAATTTTTCAATGGATTTCATCGAAAATTCCAATGAAAAATCCCGTTTAAATGTGTTTTCCATTGTAATTTCTGTTGGATTTTAAGGGATCCAATTGTAGATTTTTCAACACTTGAATTTCAATTTAAATTGCATATTCCAACAAAAATTTTTAAGGTAATAAACCGTTGGAAAAATAATTGTTGGAATCATCAAATTCCAACTAAAATTCTAATGGAAAACTCATTCTAATAAAATTTATACCATTGAAGTATTGATTGGAACTTCCATTGAATATATTACCGTTGGCTTTTTCGTTAATATATGCCAATTTTTTTTAGTGTTTGTCTATAATTTGTTTCTCTCACCCGCGCCTCTCGTCTTTTCATATTATTCTTGATGTTGAGAATTTTATTTTCATATTAGCTTAGAGAGAGACATGTAGTAGTATTTATAGAAGAAGACTTACAATCCTAATCTTACTAACATTCCTCAGGTTCTAACTTAACTTATTGTCACGTCAAACATCACAAATTGAAGTCTTTTTAATATTAAACATTATAATCCATTAAATACGTAAATTCACTTTCATTAAATTTTATATTTATTCAATTATGACCAACTCATTATATACTCTACAAAAATAGAAGAAAATAAAAACTGGCTCCATAGAATTTCAGCTCTAACACAAGTATTTCAACACAAAGAATGCCTAACATACCCCTTATAATAGCATCTGTTCTTCATATTTTCACTATAAGATAAGGTTATGAAACTTGTAAGATATCCATGTTAAAAAAAGTCGTTAAGGTCTTATTCTTGGTTAGTCACATTTGTTTTCATGATGACACTATGTTCAATTAGACAAATTCGTAACTCTGCGGTATATTAAAAATAGTTTATTAAAATTCAATTAATAAAAAAAAAAGTTCTATAATTTTTATAATTGACCAACAACTCGAGACTGTTTCCTACTAAATTTTTGATCGATTATTATTATTATTATTTTTAATCAAAATTTGTATTTCCAGCTAAAATTGTACATCATCAAATTGGACAATTTAAAAACTATAAAACTAGTATTAATTAGTTAGTTATATTACACTACTTTTCTACATACCACAAAGTTAAAAGGGCTACTTAAAAAATTTTTCTAACTGGTGACAAATATATTCAATAGTGAAAGGGACTAGACGATTCGGTTTTGTTGGGGGCAAAACGTATGTTCTTCCTCAATTTAATTCGATCTTTCTTCTTTTTTAACGTCCACTATATGGTCTCGCACGTTCGAACATTATAGTGCTGTAGGGGGCATGTCTATAGCTAAAATTGTGCCTGCCCATAAAACCTTTTTAAGTCACAATTTAAAACCCAAATTTGTCACTATCAATTAGAACTCAGCCATCTCCCTAATCACATGCTAATAACTAATAATTTATTACTTTAAGAATTTATCGAATTAGCCATATGCCATGATGCCAACACCACAAAGTGCATATTAATTAATTTTGGTAATATGCCACTTTTGATAAATATATAGTTTGAAATTCCATCATGCTAGATCATGTGCCACGTGTATTTGATAAAGAATCGCAAATCGTGAATCAGTCTAATCATTAGTAGATCTGTCAAATATACACTTTTAACAAAATATATATTTATTATGTTTTTTCTATATATAGAGCATTATATTTCAATTTGAAAATATTCATATGTTTTAAGATTATGATTATCTAATCGTTAAGCAAAATATCGGATTATTACCTGATTAGTCTGTTAAGTAGACTTTAATTTCAAGCAGACAGCAAATCCCGTTAATTGGGTTGGTAGCACATATATTGTCTGTTTTTGGTTGAATAATTGGCATGCATTTTGTGAGAAGCTATAGATTGAGTCTATTGATCTTTGTAACTCCTAAAAGAGTAATATTTTTTACATGGAATCCAACTCCTCTCCATTTACATAGGTGATAATTTTGGATAGATTGAGAGTAGGCCTTCCAAGGGTTATAGCAATCATTCCATTTTGGCTGTAAGGCCAAAAAGTTGACTTTAAAGAAAAACATAAAAATCGTGTGAGCCAGCCAAATAATTATTTCAAACTTCTATTATAAATATTATATTATATTATATTTTTTTTCTTTTTTAAAGTGGGATAGTTGGGTTTAAAAGTATGCATGTAATGTTATGAATGTGTAATTGACTAACCATAGCCTTACCGTAGATAAATAAATACTTATCCATTATAAGAAAATGATGAAATTCCAACGAAAATATATTCCAATAGAATTCCAACTGCAATTCTAATGGATATTTCAATGTTATTATTTCCGTTGAATTATTCTAACAGAAATTACAACATTGCAATTTCCGTTGGATTTTGACGATTCCAACGGTAGATTTTTCAACGGTGGTGGAAATAAAAATTCCAACGGAAATACCTACAGCCAAAAGCCGTTGGAAATATAACCGTTGGAGTCATCAAATTCCATCTAAAATTTAATGAAAAAGTCATTCCAACGGAAGCTATACTATTGGAATATCCGTTGGAATTTACATTATAATATATTACCATAAAATTTTTCGTTGGAATATAACAATTTTTTTGTAGTGATCATTGAATATGTAAGTTCTATTTGTAAAAATAAAGAATCTATATTCATATAATGGATGAAATAATGTTGTTATATTTGCCATATGTTTTGGTTGAAATAGTTTTTCCTTCAACTTAAGAAAATCAAAGAATGCTATATTGTGAGATGTAGCACAACTTGTTTAATAAAATTTTTTTTGTCCACTAAATTAATATATTTCAAAATATGATACACTTAATTCTTTCTTATAAAAATTAAATACTAACTTACAAAAATTATTTTTTTTTTTAAAAAGGCATCAACTCTAAATTTTTATAGGCAGCCACTAATATACGCACTCACTTTACTTTTTAGGCTCCCCTCATATTTTACTACTTTCGGCCCATGCACTCAATCCTGGGCCGTGGCACGCCTTTTAGCCTACTAACGGATGGTTTAATAATTTTTATGTACAAAATATTCTCTTAGGCACAAAAACTGCAGCTGGCAGCACGCCGGAAAAGCCAGGTGTGGTGGCGGTGGGACCCGCGAACCACTCCCATCATCAGATCACCATCACTGGCGGCAGCCCCGCAGCCGAGGGCAAATCGGCCGGCAGGAGGTTCGGTTTACGGCGAGCTCAGCCGGTGAGGATTTGTGATTCTAAAAGGATACTCTTCCTTTTTGCAACCCTGTAAGTCCAAACAATACATATGCCCATTTTTTTTATTATTATTATATTAACATGTTTTCATGTGCTATAGATAGGAAAACAAAAGAAAAAAATAATAAGAAAAAGAATAATAAAATTTTAGCCAATTGCAATAAAAAAGGGTTGGTCGAGTGGAATAATTATTTTATTTATATTTTTATTCGAAAAAATGTAATATGTGTCCAATAACTTGGTGAAGATGTCAAATTTTGCATAGTAACTTTTGTGATTGCATAAAATGTCAACTGTAACAAATAAAAATTAAGCACAATATGTCAGAAAATGCAAAATTTAATTACTTACCGGCAAATTACGAAAAACTGCAAAACGTGTACACTAGTTTATGTGTGCGAGCGTTTTTCGTTAGTTAGTGAATATTTTCGACGACAATCGCGAAAGTTATTAGGCACAATTGTCATCTACCCCAAGTTATTTTACACTTTTCAATTAAATACTACATCCTATTTTTGTTCATGCTTAAGCTTTCAATTTTCAAACATTATGTGTACATATATATTCAACCATTAATGATTGTGGTAATATTAGTAAATAGATTATCATTTTGTAAAAGATGAAATATAACGATTGAAATAATATAATCATTTTTTCCTTACTGCCAGAAATCGTTTCTAGAAATCTGAAATTCCAAAACTGGTTTCTATGCATTATTTATGTGTTCTAGAAACCATTTTTGAAATTTCAATTTCTATAAACAGTTTCTAACAGTCAGGGTAATTGTAACATTGAACATGAAAAAATGAATATTATTTTATATTTATACTTCCATAAAAAATGACTATATTTTATTTTTGCAGTTGCTACTTGACCATAAAGCCAAGGCACTGTAAATAATTTGCCATTATGTATGTATTGCAGGTCGAGCATGGGAACTATTTTACTAATCTATTTAACACTTTCCATGGAAAAACTCAATGGGGAAGGCAATGCTTCAATCTGATCACATCCAACATATCATGTATAATAATAACTTCTCTGTTTACACAAATATTTGAGAATAATTAAGTTTGCTTGGAACTCGGGACTTGTCTTATACGAAAGTTTCGGATTAATTTCAAAAGGACACTAAAAAATGGATCAATCAGAGAATTTGAAAACTTTGAGCAGAATTGTACATCAAATTCCAGTGAAAACTTGGCTAATGCTGTCGATTATTTAGGATATAACCTTTTCAAGCTATTATTGTAAAAAATCGTTTAAACTAAAGATAGTAGCAGATGGGACAGAGACAATGATGGGGAATCTTCAAAACTTTATTCAAGTGGGAGACATTCTAAATCGCATGATCTGTACATTTCTTTCTTTTTATTTAATGTTAATGTTAATGTTATGGTATCTTTGCAAAGTTAATGTTATTTTGCTCATCTTTGCAATAGAAAAGTGTAGAATTTTTTTATTAATCTAAAAAACTATAAAAGTATTTTGATGTGGGCAAATGGAACTCAAGAGAAGTCTACTAGCAAATTTTTTGTTCCTATTATAAATAATAAAAAAACAAAAGGAAAAGAAAAAGAAATGAAATAAAAATAGATTTAATTTGTGTAACGATGCTGAAGAAAAAAATCTACTTTTCAACAAAATTCCAATGTTTTATATTTATTCTCTATTACAAACACCACCTAAGTACTAGAATAAAGCCATCCTCAACCGCCAACAAAAGCACCGAGACACCACCACTCGAGCAAACACCCAAAGGCAACCCCCCACAAAAGATCTAGAAATTCCAACATATGGCTAACTAGATCCAGACCAAAAGAGCAAAAGCTCGATCTGAACCAAAAGAGCCAAAATCCCTGCCAAATGAGCCTCCCGGGAACAACACTAAGAGACCAACGCCCTAAAGAACCCCAACACTAAATCGGCGATGGCTAACTATCACCGTCAAGGCGACGACAACCCCCTCCATTGGATACCCTTCCAGAGACAATCAAAATCCAAAGGAACCCCATCCTCCACCAAAGTGGTGGACGGCTCGGTGGTCGTGAGCTTGACGCCCTGCCGTCGAACCTCACCAGAAACCCACCATGGACACCAAATGAAAGGAGACACGCCAGGCCGAATGGGGGAGAAAATTGGAGGGGAAACTCGTCGACCACCCCGGTGCCGTTCAACTCTGCGACAGAGCATAGAAAACAACAAAGAGGAGACCGGAAGATGCGAAGGTTTTTGATTTGGGGAAAAGGTGATAGAGAAAAAAATATCTTGTGTGGAGATGTTTTT